CCGAGTGAACGTTAAACACCATTTCACTCTCTTGTCACAAAATAAGAAAATAGTGTGCAGATAAAGTGTTTCTTAATGTAAATAATATATTCATTGAGGTTTAACGTCGTGTTTCTCTGGGCAAAAGAAGACGAGAAGTAACGAATAATTGAAATGAAGTGGGGTTCAACGTCCTACTGCAGGGAACAAACACAAGATCTGGTTAATGTGAAATGAAATGAATTGGGGTTCAACGTCCTACTGTTCTGCTTTGACTGGGAAAATGAAGACGGGAAGTAAGGAATAATAGAAATGCGATCGAATCAAGTGATGTACTGTCATGACTGGATTAACCATTAAGCACACGCTTAGGGCATCAAGGGAAGGGGGCTACACATAATTTCTGCTATGTTAACGTAATTCATCATTCTTTCAATGCATACAATTAAGGACGCCTGGTTTTCGCCCTTTCGGGCTGTAGAAATCCCAGGAACTTCCTTGGCGAACTCACCAAGCCATCGTATATATAATTGGCACTGCATAAAAGTGTTTTTCGCGATATGGATTCATTTCATACGGAGGTTAACTGAAAAGTTTCTTTCGTCAGAGAGTCACGATGACTCAGCAAGTAAAACATTGGCTGGGTAACCTGGAGTTTCTGTGTTCGATCACAGGGATTTTCCGGTGTGGTTCCCCCCCCCCCCTGTCAGTGGTGTAAGGCGGAGAGTCTGACAAGGGTCACCGAGATCCTGTGTAAACATTAGCCTGTACGTAAAAGCTTTCACAGCTGGAATTCGATACAAGAGTAGGCCGTATTGCAGCTGTTCCGGTATAATTTCTCTCATACCGGTGTTGGTGGAAAAAGTTCATCTTGCACCGGTTTCACAAAGCATTCAATTTACCCAACTTTCAATCACTGTTTATGAGAAAAATCTTTGATCCAGAAACACAAAAATTTGCACAAGGGTTTTTTTTAATCGATTTATTTGATAGTTTAGTTAAAATAAAGCGAACAGTCTTTTAGTAAATTCTTAACTTGAGTCTGGGAGTGTTTTGTGGCACCGGGGCCTGGATATTTCGACGTGTTCCCCCCCCTCCCCGCTTGTCAGTGTTAGAGGAAGGAGACAACATATAGTCGGATGGGACGAATCACCGAGGCCGCGTGTATACATTGGTGTGCACGTAAAAGAATCCTTGACCGTCATAGCACACTGCATGGCGTATGCCGGTCTTTACTAGCCCAGTCGGATCAGAAATATAGGAAGTCAAACCCCATCCTCGATTCGTAATCACCACCTCGGGGGGGGGGGGGTGCGAATGGTTAGCACGCGCGCGCTGTATCATACGTTCTGTCAATGAGTCAACAGGCGGGGTTTCGATTCCCCGGTTGCACGTGACAAGGGTCGCCTGTCCAGCCTCGTGGGTTTTCTCCGGGTCCTCCCACGGTTAAAAAGACCCCTACGCGCAAGCGAACGATTGAAATAAAATTTTACCATGTGTTAGTCTCTCTCTCTCTGTCATCACCGTTCTGCCGAACGATAAACGCGCCGCGCACAAAATACTGTGTTCCACGTGTCTGACTACGTGGACGTGAAATCACGACAATGTGTTTTCAATAAATTTTGTTTATGTATATTATGTAAAAGAAATATGAGCTTAGACGCCATACTTGTAATTAATGTCTGTAAGCACAAACCTAATATTAATCTAGTGTCCATGTGATCTGAATTTATAGACCTATTTAATCTGTGGTAATGATTTTAAAGCACGATTTTAATATCGTGATATGTAACACGAGAACAATATAGGAAACATCGGATACTTTGTTACATTAGTGTAGAGTCAAGATGACTGGAAGGAATCTTAATAAAAACTACATGTAATAGAAAACCGACAAGACAAACTTCACAGACATTGCAAGATATAAACAACAAAATATCAATTCAAAATGATACAGTCGTAAGCGTGCACTGCGCTGTGCATTCACTCAAAGGGGTCGTTTCTTCCAAATATATTATTGTAGTGTCAAGTTAGCTGGAAACGGTTTGACAAGTCTTTGTGATAAGGTCTTCGAAAGCGTTATATTAAAATTCTAGCCCCATGGAAGCTGTTAGTTTTCGTGTGTGATTTGTAACCATAATCAGATTTTATACAGCATCTTGACACATGCTCAAAACGCGACGTCAAACACATGCGACGTTATTGGCCTCATTTCGTCTTACTTCCGGTGAACCGTCCATTTTTCGGGCAATGTATTTTTGTTTTTCGGACACACACATCAGATAATGAGACCATATATCACAGCTTTGTGGAAAACTCGTTTTAGTTAATGATTGATTAATTCTGAAAATGCGGATATGACAAAGAAAAATTTCAGGCAAATAGCGCCCCCCCCCCCCCTACTTACAAAAGAAAAGAAATTGCCCCCGCCCCCATACCCATCACGCCTTAGTATTGGTCACACACAACCTCATAGTCTTCAACGTATTTGAAGAAAGGGCCATTGCCCATGCGTAACCGGGAGTTTGGTTTTTAATGTGGTTGATTATCCAGTATCTTTGGTCAAGTCAAGTAAGAATTGCACCCTTTCCCACAATAAATCCCATATTCTTGCATTAATATAAACTAACATGAATCGTGAGGACGAATTAGGATAATTAAAAAAAAACAAAAACATAAATATGGCCCATGAAGTGATAAATTTTACAATAAAAAAAATGCAATCAATGGACTTTTTGAAATGGCATTCTTAAAATAATTTCATGGGCGTCAACATCTTGTTTTAGGACTAGTTACCTCCCTTAGACTTTGTCTATGATGATGTAAAAGACTGGATAATCTAGCCGATGACCTATTACTCTCAAATGTTGACAACGCATCCAGACTAATATTCGTAGAATATTTTTCTGGATGTTAGAGACTACCTACCCCACTGTAAATCTGAGACACATGAAATGGTGTTTTACGTCCTCATTTTCCGCGCCATCCAGGCTACCGAAGACGGGCACACGCCATGCAGTGTGCTAAGAGGGAAAATTTGACTGCGCAGTGGCGCTACGACTTAATCTTATTTCGAATTCCAATCGTCATAGGCCTCACCACTAACAAGTAAAGAACTCGCCGGAAAATGAAATGGTGTCCTCATTTTCCGCGCCATCTAGGCTACTGAAGACAGGCAAACGCCATGCAGTGTATTAAGAGGGAAAGTTTGACTGCACAGTGGGGCTACGACTTAATCTTATTTTGAATTCCAATCGTCATAGGCCTGCACCACTAACAAGTAAAAAACTCGCCGGAAAATGGCGAGGAACTTTCTCGGCCAACACCGGGCACCTCTATGTTACCGATGAGAAACATTTCAGTCTTCCCATTCTAGCTGTAATAGATCACGGCTATATCACGTGAGAAAATTTTCACGGTCGCACCACAGATCAATTCTCTCAATCACAAAAAATTGAAAGCAGAAAAAAGGGAATGTTGAAAATCACGATTTTATGACGTGGGTTAAAAATGGTTTTTTTTGTAAAGTTACAGCCAGTAGTACTCTGACAGTTCGTGGAAGTCGCAACTTTATGTCAAGGTTGACACCTGATCACCGAGAAGGGCTATCCCAGAACCACTGGAAGCAGCATTGAAACATGAGTGGAAAAGGATCCCACAAGCAGGGGCTTAACTTTATGAAGCTTTGTAGAAATATCAAACTATTATAGAACTCGCTGAAAAGTTATGGGCCTATTTGTGAAAGATCTGTACAAAGTCGATGGTTTCCATTCATGAACTTTTCGGTCAGCCCCTGTAGTTGGGCGTTTTGTTATTTAGAATACTATTCTGAAATTATTTTGTTCACATCTGTGGTACAATAATAATAACGCAGCGATTGCCAACAGGTGCGAGGGAGTCCGGTGACTCGAGTCTTCTTGTTTTGGGGAGCCGCCGTGGCTCAGTGAGTATGACGCTGACTCGCTAAAGAGGATGTTTCGGGTTCGCCCCCGGTTCGGGATTTTCCGACATGGTTTCCACTTGTTGGTGATGCAGGACTGGGGGTCTGACACGGATCAATGTCTAGTCGTTCGGATGGGACGAAAACCCAAGGTCCCGTGGAAACATTAGTGTGCACGTAAAGGAACCCTTGGCAGTTGGAATTCGAAATAAGAGTAAGCCGCTGTGTCGCTGTCCGGGCGAAATCTCACCCCTAGTACACTGTATAGCATATGTACTTCTTTATTAGCTCAGTCGGTGCGGAACCCTGATTCATTTTATCTTCCAGCAAGTGCGCAGGATGTTCGTGAACAGGTCTTCTTGTTTACGGGCAGCGCAAACTTCGATTTTCAATTTACCTCAATAATTAGAGAATCGACCACCGGCCATTAAATATCATCGCCAGTAATACAATAAAAAACCACATTCAAGCCTAAGTGACAAGTTTCGATAAAACCCAACTTATTAGACGTCAAGCTGAGAAACGTACATTAGTCCCCTAATTGATATAAAAAGAAGCCAAAACAAAAAATAATCTAAGATAAATGTTATCTGTAATGATGGCGTTAATGTTATACTTACTAACCTTCGTTCGTTTTTCCCCACCTCCAATTAATTAGACATAATCAAATTAAACCAAACTGTCGTCACGTCGAGCGAGATAGTGAATCTATTGACGCTAACATCGAAGAAGGCGATCTACTACCTTTAGCATTTCAAGTGTAAAGACCATCAATTGACACGATTGAAACGTATTTCTTTTACTTTTGGATACGTCATAGACATTGCACTAACTGATAGTATTTTGGGCAAAGATTACAACGTTTGGTCTACTGCGATGTCTTCGTTCGTTTCTAGATAGTCTTTTACTCCGGGAATATCGCGGTGTAATATTGCCGCAGGCTCCTTCGGTGCCGATAATAGACGATAACCGCCTCTCTGTGACGTTTGCCGTGACGCGAAGAAAAAGGCTGGTTCTTCAACTGTCAGTAAGTATTTAAAGACGGAGAATCCTGAAGCAGCTAGATAATAGATGCCTTTGCTCGAGTTGTAAACATCAGAAGAAAAATCATTAAGTCGTTCGCATAGCACGGACAATTAGCTGAAAACATTGATTCCTGAAACTCGTAGAGGTTTAGACATAGATCCAGAACAATAGTTCTAGAGAAAATACGTGATTCCTGATTGTCAAGTGAAACAAAGAAATTGTTGTGAGTACTCCTTACATTCTTCTTATTTATTTCTTACAATTGGGTGACAATATCCATCCATGTTTTTACTTTGATGAAGAGTAAACGAAGTTTGCCTTCTCTCGGTAACCTTTTTTTTTTTAAAAAAAACAAACCAAACAATACTTTTATTCAGGGTATCTGATTTGGATTGGGGAACAGCCTTAGCCGGTATAAAACTTTCACTCTATTATAAGATAGTAGCGAAGATCAGTTAATCATTTTGATATTCTCTTCACTTTCTTTATTATTTTAAATGATCATAGCCAGACTTAAGATTTTTCATTTCAAGTTTAAACAGTTACAGTAAATACATTTTATGGACTTGTTCGATCCCTGCGTTGGCCGAGAAAGTTCGTCGGTTTTATCCGGCGTGATTCCCTCTTGTCAGGGACGAAAAACCGAGGTCCCGTGTACATATTAGCGTGCATGTAAAAAAAAATCCCTTGAAAGTTGGAATTCGAAAGAAGAGTAGGCCATAGTGCCGCTGTCAGGGCAAATTTATCCTCATAGCACACTGTATTACGTATGCCCGTCATCAATAACCCAGTCGGAGCAGAACAGTAGGACGTTAAACCCCATTTAATTCCATTTTATAACAATAATTGATGCTTTGTCGTCTGATTACACTGAAACATGTTGTTCTGTTATTGCGACCATTTGTATCCATCTAAACGAGTTTTTTTAACGGCCTAAAATCCGGCATTAATATCACTGTTTAATAATGGTTTTTGCAAAAGATAAATCTTTAAGAGCGTTCCCTTTTTATATGTTAGTCGTGCAGTCATTGATAACACAATTCAAGGCCATTGACTTTTTTTAATGCTTGATTCTATTTCGTACAACGATAATAGTATAGTTAAAGAGAAACTCGGTGTGTGTATAAAGATTCTTGAACACAAAAGCGATATTTATAAGCATCTTCATGTTTGTTTTCGTATCCTATATACTGTAATTCAGCTATAAAAATTGTAAACTTTGCAAATAAATATTGTTTAAACCAACACAAAAAATTAAACTCTGTCACGACCTGAAATAAAATTTTCATTTCTTGACCTATTTTTTTTAAAATCCGCTATTCACTACCTTTCTGTGACCAATAATTGCTTTCTCTAATCCCAAGCCGAAAGGAAATATTGCAAATTCTAAAGTTTGCTAATATTCTATTAATCTGAATGACATGCACAAATTCTAAAGTAGGGTCTATTAGAAACTGAATTCATATTACATTCATATAGCCTTTTATGGTCTACTAGTATTCTATTAATCTGAATTCTTACATTCGTTCGATTAGAAAATGAATTAAATGAAGCATTAAATTGATAAAGCCTTTTAGTTTTCTTTTTAATGAAAGCAAATATCTAACTAAATTCATTTAAACGCCCTAAAGCTGTAAAAAAGTGAACGACATTTCATTGAACTATTCAACACAGTTTGAGAGTATGTATAAATTATGTGACCATATCGAACTGTGGGATATACAACTTTTTTAGCGATCCGAGTTAAACCTTTCACCCACTTGATCTTTCAGATAAATTTAAACACGCTGGAAAAAAACCCGGAATACCGATTGATCATGTGGTTAGTTACTAATCTAAGATAACAGAGCAACTCTTAAGGCCTCTAGGTCATCAAATATACGTCATTAAATATACATATCTCGTATACATCTTTGGATAACCCTAACTGATTGTCGTGCAAACGTGAAATGGGTCACAACGTGTTATTGTTGTCGATACCCGATCGTGTAACTCCATTAAAAAGTAATTGATCAATATTATATGGTGGATATTACGTGTCGATTCCTGTTCAAAGTGTAATTGTTTATTGTATGTATTTCCCGGAGGATAACTTATCGTCATTAATGGTAAATCTTTGTCATTTCAGATCAATACAGCAGTATAGAGTAGTCGTTCCGTAGCGGTTAAAGTTGAATTTCGCCGCAGACAGACGACTCTGGTAAACATTCGCTGCTGATAGACGAAGTTGCGTGGTTCAGTATTAAGTCGTTGAGTACAAAGGATATTGCATTAAGAGTACCGATCAACAGATTTATTATTGGGATCCAAAAGGATTTGTAGAAAAAAATATCTTAAGGCAGACAAACATTTTGTTTTTAAATCATCGCAAGTAAAAGAAAAATGCAGTCTTTGTCTGAAAAATTGGACAACATGTCGTTCAAACCGAGGAACTTGAATACCGACACCAATCATTTAGATGTTACTGGAACGACGGACATTCATTCCGGACACATGTCACTGGTTCAAAAGGTAGGAAAGAAATTCAGACAAAGTCCCGTATTTGTGAAAGTGATCCGAAGCTGTTTCGAACATTATGCTGTCATTAGCAAAGACCAGCTGTTCAAAACTCACAGCACCTTCTTAAATTTGAAAAACTGTGTGGTCACCGCCGTGGAAGACACCACAACGCATATTCGAGTCATGCAAAACAACTTCGAGGGCAACTTTATCACCCTTGCTGCTAAAGACGAGGAATCTAGAAAGGAATGGCTGAATATTATGAGATCTGTTTCCGCGCCGAGCTCACCCTGCAAGATACCAATATCTCCAACCCTATCCCCGATGATTCCCCGATCGCCTATCATGCAGACCTTAACAGAAACAGACGAGGATGACGAAGAAGAAGACGATTGAATATTTCGATTGACAATTTGGTGTGATGGAACTGAAATTTCTGCTCGGTGTCAGTCTAAAGTCGTCGCCATGACTTTTTACCACGTGTAAAGATTGTTCGTGGAGGAGTTGTTGATATTTTGAAAAATGGAGACATTCCTTTTGGCTGTTAGGCCAAGCGGTGATGTACAAACTATATGCCTTATATGGACGTGACTATATCTTTAGCTGTTTGTGTGGAGACGAATCCTAAACAAAAGATTAAACTATGAAGCTTAAGCTTACCTTAAAGGTGTCAATTCAATTTTTATATTATGGTTAAACATATCTCCCAAAAATGTGCCTTCTAATAGGGAGACAATATTTCAAATATGTTATATGTAATTATTATTTATAGTGTTGTGATGTGAACTGATGCATTCATCAACTCGGCCATTGGAAAAATGGTATGGGAGGAAAACTCACTTTATGCCTTTATGCACATATCACAATCTTCGTCCTTTTCCGGATATTCCCGGAATGAGGACCGATATTCACACCCGGTGGTTTAACCCAGAAAAGTTATCAGATTGGCTGAACGGTTAATTGTCTATTCTAAGTAAACGCATCAAACCTATAGGAAATCTGACTCTTGATAAATCAGATGTTCGTATGGTTGTATGTCTGGTAGGCCCTAGTCTTGACTTAATGTCGGGTTTAACGCCCTTCTCCAATCCGAGTCGAAACGGAATGGTCTTTACGTGGTGTTATTATGCACACTTTGTGGTTGGGTGCATTTAGAGACGGATTAGTATGACTATGGAGACACGTTGGTACGAAAACCACGAAATTCTTGTGAGGAAATACGTATTTTAATCATATTCTTGCCCGTCAAAGATAAGATAAACATATCATGTATAGGCTGACATATCAAAGTATTTTTACTAATAACTCATTGTTGAAAATCGAGTTTTCATTTTTTTTTGCATTCCTGTTGCTCTTGGTTGTATTTGTTATTTTAATCCATTGCATTGAAATTTCCATGTTTGTTCAAGTTTTTTTTTAAAGTTTTTTGTTTGAAACATTTGTTATTGTTGTTAAGTGTTTTATATTCTATTAACTCTTGTTATAAAATAATTGATAAATTTTTAATTTGTGTACTTTATTTCCCCATGGCAACGAAATTTAATATCAATACTGTTATAGAATCGATGCTACCTTAGCAACTGCATTCATAAATTTTTAAGGGGGACTCGTGACCAGACAATTCATACAAGGAGTGTTTTTAACCGCCATTTCCCCCGAAATGTAACCCTACGTCCCCCTCTCTGTGTAGGATAAAGCACGAGACTGAGGTTATGCTGGGGAAAGAAAGACTGAAGAAAATAACCCGAGAAAAAGAAAAACCGAGGCCGACAGGCAAGAGAAGAATGTTTACATGTACGCAAGATGAGAATATCGCAGAATTCCCATAAGAAAAACCTTAGATTATGTTTTCTTATGAAAAAAACCCTACCCTGGAAAAATAACCTGTTACAGGTTTAAAGGAAAACTTTTAGAAGAATAACCCCAAATTCCCCTGTATATATCCAAAGCCACCCCGACTTTAAGACCTCAAGTTATTCCGGGCATAGAAAATACCCCAAAGATCAAAGAGATTTACCGTTACAGGTTTATAAATTGTACGAAAATATAAGAGTCCGAATGCAAAGCAACCGCCTTCGTCTAAGCGTACGGAATTCACATTATCTGTCTACAATTACGCTGGTTGACCGAGATTTTTTAGTCGAAAACACTACGTATACTTCATGAATATTGACAAGTATTTATTCCGTTCCCATGTAATGTGATTGAAGATGTTTATTTCGTCTTTGTGTGGATGAAAGATGTAAACAGGAGTGCAGAATGGCGTCTAAACTTCATTAGAATTTAGAGTAATTTCCTAACCAGTTGAATTCGAACACTGACAGACATGACTGATGGCTCAATTGTACACGGTAAAAGACAGACCCATTGTAATAGTAACAACCCCATTAACGTGATAAGCCGCTCAAACCTGGTTGAGGAGATAGTCAATATTATTATATTCCCAAATCACTATTAATATTTGAACTATTTATTTTGATTGCTGTAAAAATTGCTCTTATCATTTCACGATAACATACGACTTATTAAAGCTGGCCTGGATACCAGGGTTGTGACCAGCTTCTCGAATATTGAATTTAGTAGACGCAATTGTGTACCCGAATGAGAAGACGGTGCTCCTTTCTAGGCCACACGTTCTGCAAAAAACACCACAAGGTTTATCCCATAAAGTAATGAGCACTTAAATCTTTCCAAGGTCATGCGATGGGGAATAAAAATTTAAACAGTAAAATAATTGTTAATGGAAAGGGTGCCAATTTTGAAAAAAATGTGCTCCGGGCCTCGGCTGCTGGATACACGTATACTATTTCTTTTTCCCGAGTTTATATACAGGGCATATTTCTATGAAATAATATTCCTTACTATAGTCCCAGACTCGACACAAAATAGGTCATTTCGGGACTAACATGGTTCAATTTTATTTTAAAAATTCGCATTGGCGCAGGGGTCTTCAGCAGTGTTTGGAAACAGGAGAAAACCCACGAGGGTGGACAGTCCTTGTTACACACAAGCGGGGAATCGAAACCACGCCACCTGACTCAATGACAGACATTATCGTTTCACGCACGCACGTTAAACCACTACACCACACAACCGTCTAGACAATAAGAGAGTGGCTATCTAAACAAAACGCCTTACTATATCTAGCAATAAAACAGCAATGGTTTATGCACAATGACCCAAGCCACACAGTGTGGTATGAGGGAAACTGTGCCCGGTCAGCGGCGCTATGGCCTACCCTTATATCAAATTCCAACTGCCAAGGGATATTTTAAGTACACGCCAATGTGTACACGTGACCTCTTTTTTCGTCTCATCCGAACGACTAAACGGATGTCCTTGTCAGGCCCTCCTTACTGCCCCCCCTGACAAGGGGAAAACATTCATTTTTGAGGCGTCTGCAGAAGCAAATTTCCCAACTGTACTTAATAGAGAAATCGAATACTTGTGCACACTGACCCAGTTGCTTTCTATATCTCATTCCACGGAGTGCAACTGATAACTAAAAGCGATTATGTTCAATAATCGAATCCTATATGCCCTGAATATAAAATAGATAGGCGTAGGATTTCATGTGATTAAACTATGGTTTATGGCATTGCCCATTGTTATTAAAAGTCTTTATCTTTGAGCATGTCTCTGTAGACGCTTTGTTGCTAACAATAATGGTGGTGTTTTGTCCTCTGAGAGATGGCGCATTACGTAAATAAGCTTTGTTATGTCGTTGATCGATCGTCGAGATGTAAACAGGTTGTAGACTAGAACATGTTTACAGTAAATATATGTATAATTATATTGACAAGAGCCTATTATCCAGACAAGGCAGATTGTCTATGCCAAATCGATATTACAAACCATGTCGTTTCTTACAACAAAGGGATGTTTGCATGGTTAGATCTTTTGGGAAAGTCGCACTTGACGCACGTGAACGTATCACGATTTGCGTAAATATGATTTTTTTAACATTAAACTATTTGATGTTTAGTTACTACATATATAGTATGTTTTTCTAAAGTACATCTTAACTGGAAGAGAGGGGTGGGGTGGGGGGCGTGGCGTTGAATCATATCATAACGGTAGTCAAGATCATTGGGTAGAATAGAGTCCGTTCTTGGGGAGACGTTTCCTCAGGATGGTTTCTTCTCCATCATGTATATCCGGTTTCATAACCCGACTGGTGCAAAAAAGTAGTCCGTTAGACCCCATAATAGATTAAAAAAGGAGTAGGGTCGCCTGTAAAACCTCGTGGGTTTTCTCCGGGTCCTCCGGTTTCCTGCCTCTGCTAAAGACCCCTACGCGCAAGCGAATTATGTAAATAAAATTGAACCATATGTTAGTCCCGAAATGACCTAGTTTGTGTCGAGTGGACGTTAAACGCCATTTCTCTCTCTCTCTCTCTCCATAATAGCTTTTGGTTATGTTGAAAAACTGAATTTGAAAATGACGACTTTCTGTTAATGGAGAGTTGTGCCGAGCCGAAGTTACATTTTGATCAACCGAAACCCCAAACCATGGACCATTTTATAGATAATATACGGTCGGTGCCCCATAAACAACGGTAATTATAGACTTTATGACGTCCATAATATTGATTTCACCTTGCCATCTGATCGTCTGTCAGCGCCTGACCCATATATACCGTATTTCAGGTCTGCAAACACCGAGGCCAAAATTAGTTTTAGTTTTAGTCGTCTAAATTACCACCAGTGCTGGATTAACCATTAAGCAAATTAAGCACGTGCTTAGGGCATCATGGTAATGAGAGCACCACAGAATGTCTGCTTTGCTAAGATGCCAAATTTAAAATATTTAATTTAAAAATTAATTAAAGATACATTATAGGAGATTAGATAACGAGTTGGCAGTTCTCACTATAATAGTTACAAACTACATAATGTAAAGGCAACTTGCTGAAAATTTCAGTTAAATTGATCCACTATGAACCGAGAACAACGCGGATGAAAGTTCCGCTTAGCCTCGATCATCATTACTGAAGTCGATAAGACAAAACTAATAGTCTTGATTATCCGTTTAATCGTTAATCACGAAGGAAAGTTTTGCAGCAAATCGGACTGTAATCCAACAAATATGGCAGGCAAGCCTTGACATCGAGAGCTGATTATGGTCTGGATAAGTTAATTAATGTCTAAGGCCTAAAGAAAGACCTACAATAGGCCGATTTTGCTCTTGCATAATGTATTTTTAAGTACTTTCAATTACTTTTTAATTGTTTTTATCTTTTCATACTGTTACCTGTTTTGTAGCAATTAATAATGACATGTATACAATCTCAGAAAAAATCACGTGCTTGGCGGTTATTTTTATTATTATTTGTATTTTGAATTACACTAAAATCTTTTAATACTTAGGGCATCTGTGGGTCTTAATCCTGTCCTGATTACCCCCACCCACCCCAGCCCAGAAAGATGAATCCGGTCCTGATTACGTCCCCCCCCCCCTCAAAGATGTTAATTTTTAAGTAAGAAAAAAATGTTACCTGGACTTGTGCAGTAGAACGGTTTTGACGAATTCGTTTTAAAGGAATAAAGGCCAACTGGAATTTAGCCCCTAAAAACTATTCACAGAACTGTGTATGGCTCTGTGGTTAGGCCAAGTGCCCTAAGACTAGCAAGGAGGTCGGGTTTTACTCCCGGTATTGGCCGATGTTGTTTCTGAGCGGTCACGTTTCGTGTCATGTGGTGGTTGTTGAACACCAGTTCAATATAAGATATAAAATGAATTGGGGTTTAACGTCCTACAGTTCTGCTCCGACTGGGCTAATGAAGACGGGCATACGCCATAGTCTGCCGTGGTGTTAATTTTACCCGGACAGCGGCGCTACGGCCTCTTATATCGAATTCCAACTGTCAAGGAATCTTCTATGTACCTGTCTGTGTGTACACGGTACCTCGGTTTTTCGTACCATCCAAACGACTATACGTTGTCTATGTGCCCCCTGTCTTGAACCACTGGCAAGGGCTAACCACGTCGGAAAATCACGATGAACTTTCTCGACCGACGCAGAGATCGACCACGGTCCCTTCAGGTTAACAAAACGTCTTATTCACTGAGCCACCATGGCTCCTGTTCAATATAACAGTATAGAAAATCTGCTGGGTAAATAAATAAAACTCAACGTACCCAGGAGACTCCGGTTAATACCAGGTCGTGGATTCTTTTGTTATATTTATGATTGCCTTTCGTCGTCGTTTGTTTTGATGTATGAATGAACACCTTTTATTTCAATTAATCCCCGTGTTTATCATTTCAAGTCAGATCAATCTTCCCTAACGGCATGGTTCTTACAATTTATATTTTATCAGTAATTGCCCGATTAACGTTCAAACACACAATCCCATGAAACTGTCCTTGTTTACAAGCCCGATGCTAAATCGGTAATGGCGTTTATGAAATAAATTTAATAATTTATCCATTGTCGAGGGAGTACTATGTTTTGAAACAAAA